GATGCCGTTTAAAAAAATTGAGGTGACTTTCATGTGACTTTCAAATAATTCTTCAAGGTCAAAGCAATGGTACCATCTTATGGTCCCCTCGAAACCAAACAACTTTTGTCTGAAAAATTTTTCTCTCCCGTGCTTGGTTTTCGACATATTCGACTGGATGGATTAAAATGGTCCACCCTGTATATTATCTTTAGTGACATTCTTATGACAGCGGACAGTTATTTTTATGTTTTAAAGATGTCGATTAGTGTCAGTTAATAGTTAATAAAGGATCAAACTCAAATAATACACTACATTCTAAGATTATTCTGAACATATTAGGGTATTTTCTAGAATATCCTGGATATATTCAGGATAATTGTAGAATGTTTTGTGTTATTTGGGAAAATTACATCAAAATGACGTATGTTTGACATGTGTTGGAACATTGATAAGTGATATATTTTATTGGTAATTTCGACAGGTTGTCAATACATATCCATGATATTTACATTCAAGTAGTATGATTATTCATATATACACATACACACACATATAGATGCGTAATTTAGCACCAGGTAAGTACACAGAGAAAATATCAATATATTATCAATTTTTTTATATAGATTCTTTTTAATTTTACCATATTTTTAGTAGTGCAGGAATAGTTTATTAATAATATTTGTCTTGCTAAGGAACGTAATAAAAATTTCATTAAAAACAGCGAATTTTTAAATAGCATACATTGTAATTTCTAAAATATAAATAGTGCATATGAAATGAAAGAATAATCAATTATAGCAAAATATCTATTCTTCAGATACAAAGTTTTATGGTAATTTTTAAAATAAAATTTTCTCCGTGTAGAAATGAAGAATTGCAGTGGTGCGAGATGACTATTCGTGTCGCTGTATTCGTTAATTCGTTTCACCTTCATCGACGCGAAAGCATATCACAGTACAGTAGATAACGTTTAGCATTGCGTGCTTCTTTACTTTTCTTTTCTTTTATTCGAAAGCTTGCAACAATGTAACTGCGATCTACGACCCACGAATCTACAGCGACAGGAGTTGTATACATGTTATATATACGAGAAACGTGATGTGGATTCCATATATAAAGTGAATCTACTACCACTAGAATTCACATCACGTTTTACGAATACATAATTTATGTGACAAAATTATGTAAAATCAATAGACAATTAAGGTTACATTGATACAAGTATTTACAACGACAAGCTTTCGTCAAACATCTCTCTGTCTCTCTCTTTCTCTCTCTTTTTCCCTTATTTCTTCCGCCTTTTCTTTCCTTCGCTCTTTTCTCTATCTATCTAATTCTTTCTTTCACACATCCGATCGCCGCTGTAGAATTTTAACGGAGAACGTTACTTCGTAAATCTTATTACACTAACACTTATGGTAGAGGGATGTTATTTGTTTACAGGATACGTTACATAGCTTTGGGGGCTATTTTTTTGATTGGTTAACAGAGATGGAGTGTACATACAGAGAAAATGAAGATGGCACTCTGATTCACGGTAGGATGAAGTAGAACACGTTGTGCATCTTACGAGTAACTAACGTGTTCATCAAGGACGCGTTAGTTACTTGTGAGACATGCAAAGTTTATGATTGATTTGGTTACGTGAAAATATGAACACTCTCATTTTTAAATTCACTTTTAAACACATTTTAAAACTCATTTCTAAAGTTACTTAAAAATTCATCTTAACATTCGTTTCTTTTTCTTTTAATTATAAACGAAAGGTATTTCTTTTCGAGTCTTACATTCAGGACTCAAGGTTAACAATAGATAAAATCACATGTGTTAATATCTTGGTAAATAATGCATTCTCATCATATGCAACAAATTTAATCTGTTAAATTCGGCAGAGAGAAGGCTGGATACGATACATTCGATATATCAAATACGAAGTACATTAATTTTGTTATTGCAGTGAAACCGTCGTTGCTATTACATATCTGCATAAAGACAGCAAAATAAATTCCAAAAAGAAAATTGTTTTAAAACATATTGTCCTATGACACTGAAAAATTTTCGACGAAAAAATTATTATGTCACTCTCTAAATTTTTTAGAGTGAAGTTTCGCTCAAAAGAAGTGAATATTTATTCCAAGTGATAGTGAAAATACTGGATGGAGTATATTACAATTTTCATAAGAATATTTGGTAAAAATACCGAATAGTGGACCTTGACTTTGACATATGTTATAGAGGTCACCTTTCTGAGTGACCTTCTGCAGGTTTTAGCTGTCGCTCATTAAAAAGTGTTTATTAGTGTTTATTAAAAAGTTATGAACAAAAGGAGTTACATAAAATGAATGTAATTTTGGAATACCGTATATACAACGACATCAAATTTGTTGGCTAAGAAGGTGCTAGCCATACGCACGTACACAAACACTCACACACACAAGCACACGTACATGTGTGTACGTGCGTATGCAACTGAACGTAACACACGGTTTCCAAATTTTTAACATTTGTATGAATTTCTCAATGTAACACATAATTCCTTTTTTTAAAGGAAAAATACATGAAATATGTAAACAAATAGTTTATTGATGAATTGGTGTGACAGAAATATTTTTCGCACGCGCGCGTAATTAATGTATCTTTTTTGTGAATCTTTTTAACAAACAATGAGCGCCAGTTAAAATCTTTTGAATGTTACTCAGGATAGTAACAAACATCTTTATAGCCTACAAATTCGATGTTTTTGTATATACGGTGTCCAAAAATTACATCCATTTTATGCAACTTCTTTTGTTAATAACTTTTTAACAAACAATGAGCGAAAACATGGCTAAAACGTTTTGCATGTTACTTAGAAATATGTCCTTGATTACATATGTCAAGATCAATGTCGTAAGAGCTGGGTCTCCTATTCGGTACTTTTACCAATTTCACCCCAAATAAAGTAAATTTTTAGATAAAAATGAAAATCTAATTCTCTCGTATTTATGGTTGCTAGTGACTTTAATTATTGCAATCTTTTTTAAGAGGGCGCCATTTAGTTAATTTCCTTTATAATATGTTTGAAAAAATTAGCTGACTACAACGAAACTTGAAACCTGAGACTTTTGACTCTGGAGTCATTCGCTTTACTTACTGAGCTACTACTATTAACTAAAACGACTCTTATAATAATACATACGCTGTTTCCGAATTATTCACTCTTTCACGACTGAAAATTCACTCTATACAAGTAAAAAGTCACCATAATTTAAGTGACTTGGTTATTATTCTATTTTTCGAGATTTTCACTCCAAGAAATTTAGAGAGCACTTAATAATAAACAACCTCAACTGAATGGAGATCCTTTTTCGTCTTTGTTGTATCGTCTTTACTTTCAACTATTCAAAAAATAAAATGCTTATTTGGATAACAGTTTTCAAAGAGGTCGGAGCCTTTTAAAATGAGAAATCTTAGAAAGATTACCATTGATTTGAAGAATTACATCAATTAAATTACATCAATTACATCAATTCCACTACTTTTAATATTATAATAGATAATCAAAAATTGCACGCTGAAATGAGATCCCTCTTCCGTTGGGGACCTGATACCTACAGCATCGTTAATAACAATGCAAGTTAACGATAATACATATCAATACATTTAAAGAGCCACGTATATTATTGTTAAGTTGCGTCGTTATTGATTAATGGTCGTCCAATTCAGGCACGAGATTTTTTATTCTTCAGCTTGAACCATCCCGCATTCTTGTTCGGATCGCGCGGCACGGATGTCGATCTGCTCAGCTCCGGTTCGGAGCTGAGCAAGTTTACATCCATAGCACCCGACTCCGTGGAGACGGTCCTATCCACTTTCTGCTTATCCTTCGATTTCAATGTGCTGCGGTTGATCGTGCCTGTGAAACAGTGATTATTTATTAGAAACAGCGTCATTTATTAGCTATCACAATGAAGTCGGTAATCGTGATTTGATCAATCACAAGAATGTATTTGAATTTAACATACATCAATATTCATTAATTAAAAATAATAGCAATTATTATTTTAATTACTAAATTTTTGCATATCAAAAGTTGAAGTAAACAAATGGAATTATCATTTTCCATTTATAATAGTTATTCATATTGGTTGTGTAAACAAAATATGTAAAACAACTTGTTACATACATTATAGAGAGAATCGTCCGTTTGTGTTCCCAAAATTACTCTTTTAATTAAAAAGAGGGTAGATAAGGGGCAAATGAGAACTGATACGCTGAAGTTAATTCACAGAATTAAATTAATCTATATACAATGTGTCCCAGAATCTCCTTCGCATATTTTGTGGGAATGTAGAAGCTTGAGATAAATATAAACACCTATACCGTTTTGCGATTTTCGCAATAATAACCGAGAAATTAATTGTAAAAGATTAAAGAAAAAGACACACTGAATGATTAGGAAAGAGCGCTCGTGGCCTAATAATGTAACGCGCGGATGTCGGCGCGCGCGATGATTGGAAAAACAATGCACCACTATTTATTTTTATATTGCTGCAATCCTACGTCTTGCCGCACCGCGCCGAGGCGAGATATAATATATTATGTCTATGGTCTCTTTCTACATGTTGGGTTCACTTTTCTGGCCGTATACGGGGTCCATGTATACTACGTCCATGTTTGAGACCTTGTGTTCTTCCTCATTCGCGCATCTCTGTAACATAACCTTTCTTGCACATACGCTTACACATGCGCGAATGAGAGGGAACGCAGAGTCTCAAAACGCAATGTATCCTTTTCTACATGCTCTTACCCTTGCTACTCAAATAAGGCAAACGCTTGGTCTAAATATATTATGTTTATGATAACAACAGATAGTGATTCTGAAATTGGCAATGGACTTAGTCCGGAACCATATCAAGGGAACGGAACAGATAGTGTTTGACAGGCGCATTGATTTATCACGCGCTGCGTGTTGACATCTGCGCATTGACATCTGCGCGTTGATATCTGCACATTGACATCTGCGCACTATACTAGGTCGCGCACTATACTAGCGCTCTTCCCTCAAGCACTCCCTCAAGCGTGTTTTTCCTTAATTTTTATAATTTTTCGGTTATTATTGCGAATAGCGCAAAACGGTATAGGACTTTTATGTTTACCTCAACCCGCTCTACATTCCCACAAAATATGCGGAGGAGAGTCTGGGACATGCTGTATAATAACCAATAATTCATTACTAGTACTTGTTCAGTACTATCTGCATACGAGTAGACGTACGCAATGCATCAGATACTGACATAATAAATGGATAATTTTTATATTATTAGGTGTACAACTTTACTTCCGCTATTTTCCTATAGATGGCTTTAGCGGTAAGTGGTGGAAATAAATAGATCATAGACGTCATACAATAAACTTGGGCATCTGTCAACATAACCTCATAAAAACATTAGTCGATTTGTGTCTGCATCATAAAGTTATTCTCGATTGAAAATGTCAGTTTACGAGCCAAATTCTCGTCATTTGCGGGAGGTTTTAATTTTCTGCTTCAATATGAAGAAATCTGCGGCTCATCGAATGCTCTCAAATACTTATGGTGAGATCGCTATTAGTGAAATAACGTGTCGTGAGTGATTTCAACGCTTCAAGAACGGTGATTTTGACATCGAAGACCGGCATAGCGGTGGAAGAGAGAAGGTTTTCGAATATGCAAAATTGGAGGCATTACTTGATCAAGACTCGTGTCAAAATCAAGAAGAATTGGTACGATCATTGGGAGTGACTCAACAAACTATTTCAAAACGTCTCAAAGCCATGGGAATGATTCAAAAGCAAGGAAATTGGATGCTGTACAAATTGAAGCCGAGAGATGTTGAACGGTGTTTGTTTGCTTGTGAACAACTGCTTGAAAGGCAAAGACGGAAGGGATTTCTGCATTGTGACTGGGGACGAAAAATGAGTTCATTACGATAACCCCAAGCACAGAAAATCAAGGGGAGTTCCCGGCCATGCTTCCACGTCGACGGCCAAACCGAATATTCACGGCTCCAAGGTCATGCTCTGTATTTGGTGGGACCAGCTCGGCGTAGTGTATTATGAGCTGTTAAAACCGACTGAAACAATCATAGGCGATCGGTATCAAACGCAATTGATGCGTTTGAGCCGAGCATTGAAAGACAAACGGCCGCAATACAACGAGAGACACGATAAAGTGATTTTGCAGCATGACAATGCTCGACCCCATGTTGCGAAAGTGGTCAAGACATACTTGGAAACGTTGAAATGGGAAGTCCTACCCCACCCGCCGTATTCTCCAGACGTTGCTCCCTCTGACTATCACTTGTTTCGATCAATGGCACACGGCCTGGCTGATCAGCACTTCCGGTCTTATGAAGAAGTAAAAAATTAGATCGATTCGTGGATCGCCTCAAAAGATGACCAGATTTTTCGACGTGGGATTCGTACGCTGCCCGAAAGATGGGAGAAAGTAGTGGCCAGCGATGGACAATACTTTGAATCATAAATGTATAACCAGTTTTTTACAATAAAGCCTCGAATTTCGAAAAAAAAAAAAACGGCGGAAGCAAAGTTGCACACCTAATACGTATTAACTTCGGCGTATCTCGGCTCTTATTTGTCTATTATCATATCCTTCTTATGGTTAAAAATCAAGAAGCTTTATAAAAACTCATTATGTTCTATATGTTAAGAATAGAAATATTCATTGATTATTAGTTCAGTGAACATGCATTATGCCGTGAAATCAAAATCTCGAAATTCGGAAACATAGTCGGTTTTTCGAAAAACTATAATATAATATTATGCAATAGAATTTTTCTGAGATTATATCTCGAAAAGTATCTTTAAATAGAATTGTTCCGAAGATAAACTTAAGATTTGAAGATAAACTTAAGTATAAATATAAGATGAACTTAAGTATAAGATTTTACTATAAATACCGGTCTTAGCGTTCGAATACGTGTCAAGATTGCATGTAGCTAGTAAATTACTAAAAATGCACAATATACATATACACATAACGCTGCATTTCTAGTATGTTAATAGGTTGTATACAATTTAACACAAAAGAAAGTACCATGTGTCATTGGCTTAACTTTGCAAAACACAATACAATGTGCAAATACAAACATATACACACACACATAGACCCGCGTGCACATATATACACACATACACACATACATACACACATATACGCACATACGCACATGCATGCACGCACCGCGTGCTTCATTGTGCTGAAAAACATAATTTCAATATACATATGCTACCAAAAAAAACGTACAGATGTCCACGTATATAATTCGCATATATTCCATATTTATAGAATCTAATTTGTATTAAATATAAAGGACAATAAGAGTTAAAGCACAGTTCTAATAGTGCTATTAAAACTATTAAAAATAGTGACTCAATCTCCAATGAGAAGAAATTTATTAATCATTAAACAATCAAACGCGTTTCGGTCTAATTTCACAGACCATCTTCAGTGATTACAAATAAAAAACAAATTATATTTAAA